GGGGGGGGGGGGGGGGGGGGGTGTGATGCACCCTGCAATGCGGCTGGGGGCCGACAGCCTGATCCTCCCCCCATTCCCAGCGAGTCCCATCTCATCAGAACCCCCCCCAGTGGAGTTTGTTGCTCCAGCAGCAGGAGGCGGCCTCAACTCCCCTCAAGTGCGTGGGCCCACTGCCTGGGGGCAGAGGCTCCTGGCGTGGATCCCGCCTGCAGGGACCCAGAGGAGCCTGCCGAAGGCCCCTCCCAGCCGCCGCGCACCCCCCCCCATGACAGGCTTGCTAGCCTCTCCCCTCCGCAAATGTCACCGCGTCCAATTAGCTTAATTAAACCAGCTCTGGAGCGAGGGGGACCCTCCTCGGACAACACCCTGTTCCCACCCTCAGCAGGGGTGGGAGTGGGCTCTGGGCAGGGAGGGGCTCCCTAGCACCTGCCTTCCCTCTCTCCCATCCCCACCCCCGCTGGACACAGACAACCTGAAGGACAGAGGGAGAGAAACACAGACAGAAACGGGGAAAAAACAGAGTCATGCCAGGAGGAAACTCAGACAGAGATAGAGTGAGGGAAGAGAATGAGAGACAAAAGAGACAGAGAGAAGACTGGGGAGAGAGAGTGATGGCAAAACGGTGGAGAGAGAGAGAGCCCGAGAGGGGAGAGCGCGAGTGATCAAGAAGCCAGAGGGAGGATTTGATTTGATTGTGTTCCATGTTCCCATTTCTCGGCTCGTTTCCTCACAGACTCTCGCCCCTCCCTGTCCAACTCCCCCACAAGGTCACTTCGGCCGCGGCCCCCCAACTCTTCCCTTTTCTCTTGGTTGTCTCCGGTGACGGGTGGGAGGGTACCCAAAGCCAGGGGATTTGCCAGGATCAGAGGAGCAGAGCTAGCAGTTTGCCTGGGATCAGAAGTGGGGGGGCAGCACCCTGGCACTTCTTGTTGTCCTGCCGAACCCCGACCCCCTCCCACCCCCCCACCCCCCACCTTCTAGGAGTCACTGGACTGAATCAGCCCTGACCAGGCTTTGCCTGGGTGCAGGACTTAGGGATGCTGGAGTGTGCTGCGAGGAGCTGGCTTGGAAGTACTTGGGTCATAACATAGGCGGCAGGGCATTTGGATGACTGGGCTTCCCTGGAAAGAGCTGCAGTGGGGTCCAGAGGGGTGGGATTAGAGGTCAGAGTTCAAGTGACCCACCCTTGGTGATACTGCCTCCTCCAATGCCCTCTTCTGGGCTCAGGCTCTGCCCTCATCAAGCTCACTTCCTGGGACTCTCTGTCCACCCCCCCCCACAGGCAGGGACCCCTTTCCCCAAGCCCTCTCCGGCCTAACCCCCTCCGGGTGTTAGCTGCCCGCTCAAGCCTGTCTGTCTGAGTCAATCATTCCTGCCGCCCCTGCCCCCCTCACCTGGGCTGGGAGGAGGGACGGATGGGAGGAGGAATGAGGGGGGCGATAAATATGTATGACGAGCGGGTGGCGGCAGCATTAATAACCCGGGATCGCATCGCTGCGGGGACGGGGACCAGGCGGTGGAGAGTCTAGCCTAGCAGCTTGGCTGTGCCATTCCTGTCCCCCGTGACACAGTGTGTACACACGGGTGTGTGCAAACAGAGGGGGCACGCGTGCTTCCAGGCCTCCCTACCTCCCCAGAGCTCAGCCTGCAAGCCAGTGTGGGGCACCCTCAGGGACCACTCGTATACAAATACAACCCCCCGTGGGAGCACAGAGAGACCACACTTGTTCTATCACTGGATACACTTCCTTTAGAAAGAGCTTGACACACCGATGGAGGATGACAGGAGCTCACACAGGAAAAGTGACACCTCCAGACAGTCACACACAGCCACCCTCAGATCACTATGCACAAACACACAGCCAACCCCGACACACAACCACACCAGTCATGACAGACACCACGAATGGACACATACTACACACACACAGGCCATATACACACCACCACAGATGTGCACAGCAGACATGCAGCCACACAAGCAGGCAGGCAGGCAGACACACACACACACACACACACACACACACACACACACACAGCCACCACAGACTGATCTGTGTATGAGCTGCCCCAGGCAGACCCCACCCAGAACCACTCTAGGTAGACAGACACATACAACCATGTCATGCTTATGGGGACACAGCCACCCCAGACGGACACACACAGGTTCACCTCCCCCACGGGACCTGCACGCAGTCGGGGCCACACCAAGCAGCGGGGCTGGCGCAGGCTGACTGACACACTCTGACACGCGCGCTGCTCTGCTGCTCTGCCTCCCGCTCTCCTCGCTGGAGAAGCATCTCCATATTTCTTCCTCTGCTCTCTTTCCGTCTCCTTCACTCCGGCCGCCCCCACCCCCTCACCCCCCCAGATAATTGATGGCCCGGGCCTGGCCCGGCTGCTCCCGCCTTGTGATCCATCTTGTCCTCACGCCCGGATTGTCTCCCAGATCCACCGGCCACCTGAGACACCCAGAGAGGGGTGGGGGACGGGCGGGGCAGCTCCTCAGCCCCCTCTGAGCCCAGGGAGGGACCTCCGGGGGCTTCCACCACGGCAGGAACGCTGGGGACCGGGAGGGATGCCCAGACTCCCCTCCTCTGCAGACCAATAGGGGCTGAGGCCCGGGTGAGGGCCCTGGCCCCGGCAGAGGGCAGAGAGGTCTTGGCGCCTCTTTCTGGATACTGGATGTGGACCTGGCCACACCTCCCTTGCTCCAGTCCAGCCCCTCCTGGACCCAGGGCTGGGAAGCCCCCCCCCCCGGGGGGTGGCGCCAGGCAAGGGAAGACCAGCAGGGTCCAGAGCTCCACTCCGCATTCATATTCATGCAGGTGTTGGCTTTTTGGCCTTCACTGGGGCTCTTTGAGGACACAAGGCATCATTTCACAGATGTAGAAACTGAGGTTTGGATAGAGGAAGTGACTTGGGCAAGACCACACAGCTTGAAAGGGGTGCAGGTCTCCCAGGTACCGTCTGAAGCACCCGCTGCGCCCCGCGGGACCCCTCACGTCTCCCAGCGGCCGTGGAAAGAAAGGGTAGGGCTCTGGCGGGATGGCCAAGGCCACCCCAGCCCTCTCTTTCCCCCTCTTTCTTCGTGCACAGGCTGTCAGTGCCCAGATGCCGGAGTCCAGGAGACCGC